GTCCCTTGGACTGCAAGGAGATCCAACCAGTCCATCCTAAAGGAGATCAGTCCTGGGTGTTCATTGGAAGGACTGATGCTGAAGCTGAAACTCTAATACTTTGGCCACCTCATGCAAAGAGCTGACTCACTGGAAAAGACCCTGATGCTGGGAGGGATTGGGGGCAGGAGGAGAAGGGGACAACAGAGGATGAGATGGCTGGATGGCATCACTTGATGGACATGGGTTTGAGTAAACTCCGGGAGTTGGTGATGGACAGGGAGGACTGGCGTGCTGCAGTTCATGGGGTCGCAAAGAGTCAGACACAATGGAGCGACTGAGCTGAACTGAACTGAACTGATGGTATTATCATATGTTTCCTGTCACTTTATCAACTGGAGTTTGACTTTTTCTTGTTTTGCTGTTTAAGGCATTTGTATTTCTTTAGAGTAGGTTTCTGATTTTTATATAATTTTTGAGCTGTGTTAGGTTTAGACATCTCACTCTAGCCTATGTCCAGTAGATTTACTTGGAAATGGTACAATGTTTACATGAATTGCATTGCATAACTTTTCCAAACAACGTATAAGTGTGCTGTGTATTTATCTTTGCATAGTCATGCTTATTCTATAAGTACTATAATAAACTTACATGTAAGCATATAAAATTTGAATACGCAGTGTGAACACACAAATCTGGTGGCTCTTAACACCTATTACCCTCACTTGAACTCATTCATTCAAAAAGTATTGTTATATATTGCAAAGAAATAAATGAGACGGACGTTGGTGTTAATGGAAAGTCTGAGGCTCTAATATCCAGCAGGAAGGACTTGCATTTGGATTTTACCAAGCTTGATTGTCCTGCTGAAATGATTTATCTCATTTCTCATCTCCTGATAGAGTGAAACAGCTTCTATGAATAGTTTTTATGCCATGGATCAATGAATTTGTAGGTTTATTTTGCTAGTTAAATGTTTCCATCAAATATCCTTATTCATGCAGGAAATGATTCCTTTTTATACTTCGTCCAGGAAAAATGATGCTAAGTATCCTTTGAAAATACATGTGCAAAGACTCACTCATAGGAACAGAATTAAATCTATGTCAATTTTATACATGTGTGCTGTGTGTGTGTGTATTCACACACATTTGCATTAGTAACTAGCTTTTGTGGAACTTCCATCAAGGGGATACCACCAAGGAGACTCAACTTTAGGTATTGAGGATACAACTGAACAGTGCTAAGGAAAACCTTTAACGCTATCATTTGTGAATGTTTCTATTCTCATGGCGTGCTCTCATGGATAATCTAATGATAACTTTTAGTTTTCAGGTTCAGAAATGGCAATTATTTAAGCCTTGTGCAAATTTAACCCATATACTCTACTTGCTTACTTACTTCCTAAATCCTACTTGCCAGCTTATGATGGGAACAAATTTTAGAGACCAGAGTTTTTTTATTTCATATCTTCTTTTAGAGAATTCTTAACATTTTAATTACTTTTATGTTTTCCTAAAGACTGGATGTAACTGCTGGTTAGAGAAGGGGCTAAGGAAATTTTCCTGAAATGATCTCTCTCTTAGTAGTATATCTTAGCCTTATTGAAAAGCAGCCTCAGTTTTGCAACGAACACATACTACTTTTATTCTTTCAGAAAAAGGAGGTATGTGAAAAGTGTGTATCTATACCATACAAAAAGGGCAAGGTTTAATTTTACTCTACATTCTAGTTAAGCAATCCTCTTCTCCGAGTGTGCTAGGAAATGCCGTGTTCAAGAAGCCCCTCCTGTATCAAGATGGGTTGGGGAGAGGGAATAAGCAAAAGGCAAACAATGGGCCTCTTCTGGTCTTACTAGAGAAAATGCTGAAGGCAGTTAGAGGAACTGGGTAGAGAAAGGAAAATAAGCTGACACCTTTGTACACTCCCTCCCTCAGGGTATTTCAGAGAGGGCACCTTACAGAGAAACCTGTGGAAGCCTAGTCTCGGGGAGATTGGCACTGAAGTGTGGTAGGTCTGAGGCAGTGCTGGCCATCCACTGGGTTCTTTGCTCTCATTAGATGTGGGTCGTCATCTTCTCTCGGTCTCCCTTCCTCCCTCCCTCTTTCTCTCTCTCTCACATACACAAACCAAGATTTCCAAAGTGTTCACTCCGTGTACATCCTATTCATAGACTAAAAATTCAACCAAGAGTATATAACCACAATCTCTGTTAGGTAATATTGAAACACAGGAGTAAAAAAGGTAAAAATAAATATAAATAAAAAATTTAAAAAGAAAACCACTACTAGAGCATGTGGGAAGAGAGGTACCTTTTTTAATAAATACATAAATTATAGTTATTTAATTTAGAAAATACCAATAACTCCAGTGTTTCTGGAAAGCAGACTTATTACCTCTAGAAACAGTTACATGACCTTGATAAAGAAGAGAAATTCCTTATTCTTTCGGGTCTTATGAGTTATTGTTATAATTAGTAAGGTCAAAGGACTATAATAAAACATTCTTTAAATATTAAAATAATTCTTTCAAAGCCTATATTAAACCTTTCAAATTTTAGGCACGGTATTATATCTGAAATTTTGCCCAAGATATACACTGCTGTGAGTAATGTGTTGCCATGAAAGCTTCTGGATTAAAAAAAATTGACTTTTGGTTTTTGGATTTTTTGTTTTCTTGGTTTTTGGTTCTTTTCTTGCTTTTTCTTTTTGTTAACCTTTCGGCTTGGGCTTTTCTTTTGTTTTTTTATTTTTCCCCTTTTTTGGAGTTTCGTTTGTTGAAATTAAGGGGGAAGGAGACCCTCCTAGATTGTTCTAGTGCATATTTGGCTCTGAATTAAATGAACATTTAAATCTCTAAGATTTTCAGCTAATGTTGAATTTGGCTGGATACCCTGTGGTTATAATGTCTTAAGCCTTTAAAAATACATGGGTTCTCAAATAGCGATATGTTTTTTCTTGATTTTTTTCCCAACTAGCATTTTGTTACGACTCTCACTGTCTACGTCAAACAAATGTTATGCAGTTTACAATGCTTATAGCACACGACTGCCACCTACAAGTACTCTTTGGGCCTCAGCAGACAGCCATGTGCAACACTGAAGAATGATGTCTTGGATGATTAGTAGAGAATCTTGCTTCTATCCATTTTTCTACTTTCAAGGTAGGATTGGGTTAGATGTTTTTTCCTCTTCCTCCCTTCTCTCTTCCTTTTTCCTACCTCCCTCTCTTCTTTTCCTGTTTCTCTGTTGCAGTCTCTCTTTACTATAGATACAGTAATTCATGCTGTCAGTATTATTAGAGGTTCTTATTATGCAATGATAATGTAATACTCATGTAGACAACCCCAGGTGTTTTCAGCTTTTGCATCTCCTGAATCTTCACCTATTTTTCAAGCCATTTTGAGTAGGAATCCACTTTTTCTTTGCTTTGTACTTCTGGCTGTACAGTATTCATTAAAGCAGAAAATGTGTTAGCTTGTATACCTCATCACTCATCTTGAGACCCTGTGTAGATTTCTGTTTCAGAAGAATAATAGCTTTTACTAAGCCATAATTGAGATGAGGGCTGAGTGTAATTTTCTGTTGCAAAGGAGAGGATTGGAAAGAAGGAGCAGAAGCTTTGAGAATTTAGACCACGAATGTGACAGCAGGAGGTAGTGGGGAACCCTCTGGAGAGAGCGGTAGACAACAGTGAGGCAACTGAAGAGTTGGCAGGGCCAGGTGAATATGGTCTCTTGAGACTGTTAGTTCGGAGATGGGGGATCAGAGCACAGCCTCTCCGTCTGAGGGCCCTCAATGCCTCCATCCCCTAGTTCCCTTTCCCACTTCCAACTCTTTCCTTGTAGGAAGCTGCCTCGCCACATGAGTGGGTTGCAAAGCAATGGGCTGAGTTGTGTAGGAGAAGCAGCTGGAAGAGGTGAGCAGTCCACTGCTGTGATTGTTCCCCCCTTTTAGGGCTGCTTTTGGCTATCTTTGTGTCCATGCACTCTCTATAGCCTTGCAGTCTAACTCAACTGCTGTTCTGTCACTTAATCCGTTGGCTGAATTTATTGACCTACCATTGGGTTACTTATTTTTACCCAACATTATGTGGCCTAATATTTGTGTTCTGAACCTATTTCTGATTCACAGAACATTAATCTACTGTAGTCCCAAGTGCAAGTAAGAGATAAATTTTTTTTTATAAGCATCTAAATATTTTGCATGAGAGAAAGCCAAAAAGAGGTAAGAGAAATGTGTATGCAATATATGCTTGCATACATGTATATAAAATATGCATGTATATATGTGCATAGACACATATATGTATATATTCACACATATACATGATAAGCATACACACATATGCATATATTATTATATGTATATAATGTCTAAATGGAAACTGATCATCCATTTAACTTACTGTGGAACTTATTAAACTCTATGGAAATAAAGCATTACATTTTCAGTATTTATGTAGTGGAAGTCTTTAAACACCAAATCTTACTGTTGATTAAGAAATGGAATTAAGTACCATCTTAATGGCAAATTAATACAGATTTGCTACGCTGTATGTTTTGTTGTCATTTGGGAAAATTATACTATCAACCAATGTTAAACAGAAAAGCTCCAAATCAATTATAAATTGAGAACAAATAGCAAAGGCTGAAGATACTTTACATAACATTTAAAAATGTATTGATTCTAATTAAGCCTCTTCCATTAGACCTCCCTAGCTCTTAATGCCTCCTTCAGGAGATAATCCGTTACCACGACGATGGAAAGTCAGGAAGAACAGCCTCCAAAGGCTGAGGAGGCTTAGTCTACTCCTTCCAGATTGGTGTCGGCCACTTTGGGCTGTGGGGGTCCACCTGAGGCCCCTCCTGGCAGCCCCTCTGCTGCTGGTGGGGGCTGCCTCATGGCCTCACATCCAGACTCCCTAGCTGGCAGGTGCGCTCCCGCTGCAGGTGGTGGGGCGGAACATTTGGCCTCCATCACACATAAGGTCTCAGCTGGGGGCGCCAGGGCTTGACCGGAAGTTGCTGCCTCAGGCTTCCGGGGCTGCCCATTCACTTCCATCGCCGGCAGCGAGGCCTCAGCTGCGGGCTCCTGGGCTTGACTGGAAGCTGCTGCCTCTGGCTTCCCGGGCTGCTCATTGGCCTTCACCACCGGTAGGGAGGGCTTGGCTGGGGCCTTCGGGTCCTGACTGGAAGCTGCTGCCTCTGGATTCCGGTTCTGCTGATCAGCCGGTGCTGCACCAGGGAGACCATCGCCTTGGGCCTCAGCTCCTGTCTCTCCTCTGAGGGTAGGTTCTGTCTCACTGACTCCCTTGTCCTCAGACTTGTCCTCAGGATTTGGGGGAGGCAGGGGGATAGCTAAATGGCATGCGGGACTCAGAGGAGCTTGTTCCAGCCCCCTGAGGGCCGTGTCGCAGCCCCCTGGAGGACTGTTGACTTCTGGGTGGATTTCTTTGGACACGTCGAGGGTTGACTCCGGACAATGCATTATCATGAAGGCCGCCGCGAGATTTTGCACAGCTTTGTGAACGCTGTTGGCTTCCTCCGCGTCAGCCTCTTCATTCACAGAGGTGTTTGGCTCCTCATCAGAGGTGTGCTGACCTTGGTCATCCTTTTCAGGCATTTTTGCTTCTCTAATTTTTTTATAGAGTTCGTTTCTCTCTTCTTGTAAAGCTCGACAGAGGTTCTCTAACCTCCCAATTTTCATCACGAAGCACTCATATTCTTTAGCTCTCAATGCTTTCTGTGATTTAAACACACACAAACAAAATGGTGTGAAAAGTGAAACTGCAAGGTTTTACTGGAGTAAAGTAAAATGCTCTCTGGAGACAAGCAAAATCATTAATCCAGGAATTTGTCTGTTAGGCTTTGACCACAGGGTGGTGGCTGAACAGATACTTGGTCAGGGACGTCACTTCTATTTTTGCATTATGTTGGAGACCTTGGTAGAATTTTAATCCACTTTTTTTTTTTTTTTAAAGGAAAGAAAGATATCAAAGCTTCTCTCTGCTTCAGTCTAGGGCTTCTAAAAATCTTAAAATAGATGCATTTTCTGCTTCTAAGACTTAGAAGGAATAAGCAGAGGCTTGCGGCAAAATGACTGAGATGGACTGGGATTTGGCGGTCAGCAATGCCTTTATCTGTCCTATAGATAAACTGCTATATGCTAATCCAGCATCTGTTTGATTTCTGTTTGTGAATAATAAACACATCTCTTTGGAATTGGTTGCAGTTTGGGATGAAGTGCTAAAACAGTAATTATATCCAGAGAAAGTAACCACGCTCTTTCATGATGCTGCTCAAACTATTCAGTTCTCCTTTTCTCTAGAAATGTTGGTGTGTTTGTGCATGGAATTATCTTACTTCTCCACTCCCGCACCCTCCCCCACCCTTCCGCTTTGTGCTACTCTATACCTTTTAAGACTTTTTTTTCCTCATTTGTTTACATGGAGAGACCTTCACCTGTAAGCCTCTCTCTCACGTTAAGGGTCATGTATCTTTGCTTTTATGGTCTCAAAACCTCCAGAGCCTGATGTAATATCAGGATTTAAGTGCTTGTTGGAGGAATTAAACAATGTACATGCACATCTGTCTGTAAGTTAGCACATACCCTGGGTGCTCGGGCTGGTGTTTTCTCTCAGTATGCTTGAATCAGCTAATAAATTTATTCTGCACCTGTTATGTGTCTGGCACCGGGGAAATTCAAAGACAGGTGAAACACTCATCCTGCCTTTGAGGAATTCACAGTCCAGCAGGTGTGGTGCTGTCTTGGGCACAGCTTTGGAATCAACAAGTAGGCATGTGACTTAGGGTCACAATGCTCTTTATGAGTCTGGACCCAACTCTAAATTACTTTTGTTCAGGTTATTTTTTATTAGAGTATCATATACCATACCCTAGAAAAAATTCAGCTCTTCAAAGGTATTCATTTTGTGCTATTAGGGCATAATTATTTTCCGAGTATAAATGTATTGACTAGACGAGGGAAGATGAGCAAAGGGAAAAACTTCCTCACCTCTTCAATCATGTCCAACAGAGCTTTGTTACAGTTCTCAAACCGAGCTTTCCATGTGGCTGTATCCTTTTCCAGCTTCTTCATTTTCTTCGTGGTCTACAGAAATTATAGTGTTTTAATGTTAATTCTGAGCAGTTAATATATCAGAGAAACTATCAGTTCCATGTGTGACATCAAGAAAAAGTCCTTTCATTACTAGGTGCTGAAGGAAGCAAAAATCCAATGTCAAGGAATAAAGATTGAGTGGAAAGAGTCATGATTTATTTCTGAATCATCTAGGTCAGTGGTGAACAAACTTATTTACACCAGAGCCAGTTCAGGAGAAGGAAAGCTACTTAGGTCCTTCCTTTTTTGTCATTGTGTTTTCTTTTGTTTAAAAGTAAAAATAACTTTATTGAGTTCCAAGAATAAGCTTGAAATTTAGATTATTTACTGTATTGAATGCAAGACTGTTAGTTAGAAAGTTGGCCCAGCTTTTTTGCTATTAAAATGTTGATAATATCTGGGCACATCTGAGAAGTAGCTACACAAAGTCAACTTTCAGTTTTCTCAGCCTTCATGTTTGTAGAGTGCAGTAGGATTCACAGAATGTGATTGCATGCGTTATTCATTTCATCCTTGAGACAGTCCCCCAAGGAAGGTTCTGATTTCACCTCTACTTTATAAATGGGGAAACTAAGGTTCAGAGAGATGGAGTAGTGGTTCAGGTGAGTTTTCAGAGGAGTAGGACTGGAGTCATTTCCATTTAATGCAGCATGTGCAGAGTGCCTGCTGGTGGCGAGGCAGGGGCTGGGTGTAGGGCATACAGAAATGAATAAAATGCAGCCTAGCTTTTGCAAATCTGAAACTACTCTTGTGTTCTTGGTTATAGGATCTCCTCTCTGCTTGGATGATGTGAAGGACAAGGCTTGTATTCAAGTACAATAACCCTGGATTAACTGCACGTGGGCACTGGTTGCTTCGTGCCAAAAGGCCTAATATTGGGTCTGCTTGGAGGCCCAGGCTGTTGGCTTCTGGGCTCTGTCGAGAAGCTATGTGAGCCTCCAGTGCTTTTTTATTTTCATCATTTCTTAAGTGAGTTAATAGTTTATTAATTTTTTAAGTCTCATCAGCCCCTTTAGGAATTTAATGAAATCTGCGGAAAGTGGAAGTGATAAATAGATTCAAGGGATTAGATCTGATAGATAAAAGAGTGCCCGAAGAACTATGGATGGAGGTTGGTAACATTGTACAGGAGACGGTGATCAAAACCATCCCCAGGAAGAAGAAATGCAAAAAGACAAAATGGATGTCTGAGAAGGCCTTGCAAATATCTGAGAAGAGAGGAGAAACAAAAGGCAAAGGAGAAAAGGAAAGATATACCCATCTGAATGCAGAGTTTGAAAGAACAGTAAGGAGAGATAAGAAAACCTTCCTCAGTGATCAATGCAGAGAAATAGAGGAAAACAATAGAATGGGAAAGACTAGAGATCTCTTCAGGAAAATTATAGACACCAAGGGAACATTTCATGTGAAGATGCACAATAAAGGACAGAAATGGTATGGACCTAATGGAAGTAGAGATATTAAGAAAAGGTGGCAAGAATACACAGAAGAACTATACAAAAGAGATCTTAATGACTCAGATAGCCATGATGGTGTGGTCACTTACCTAGAGCCAGACATCATGGAGTGTGAAATCAAGTGGGCTTTAGGAAGCATCACTACGAACAAAGCTAGTGGAGGTGATGAAATTCCAGTTGACCTATTTCAAATTCTAAAAGATGTTAAAGTGCTGCACTCTATGCCAGCAAATTTGGAAAACTCAGCNCCACCTGATGCAAAGAACTGACTCATTGGCAAAGACCCTGATGGCAGGAAAGATTGAAGGCAGGAGTACAACAGAGGATGAGATGGTTGGATGGCATCAATGACTCGATGGACATGAGTTTGAGCAAGCTCTGAGAGTTGCTGATGGACAGGGAACCCTGGTGTGCTGCATTCCATGCGGTGGCAAAGAGTCACATGACTGAGCGATGGACCTGAACTGATGGGACCACACCTAAAGAAATGCAGTATGCATATCAATTTTTTTTTCTAATTCTACTAAGTCTATAAATGAGCTTCAGATAAAAATTCTTGCTCTAATATTTAACCAAATCTTAAAACTATTTAATTTTGAAATAAATAACATTTTTATACTCTAATATTTGTTTCAAATTAAAACTCTGTAATTAAAAAAATATTTTTTAAATGGATGAATTCATTCTGGAGTGGAAAAGTTGTAACTTTTAAGAAATGTTGACCTATTAAGTTTTCTTGTGAATGTTGAAATTTATCATATATGTTTGTGAAATTTTTTTTTTTTAAAGAACGTTTTCTACACTTAAAAGAGGTTAATGCTAGTGCCTGTTTAGAAAAACAGTTCTGATGCTGATTTTGTTTTGGGAAAACAATGAATTAAATAAAATTTAAACATTATGTCCAGTAATAAAATTAGCAACTTACATTTGTAAAAGTGGACTTCCCGGGTGGCTCAATGGTAAGGAATCTGCCTACCAATGCAGGAGACATGGGTTTGATCCCTAGGTCAAGAAGATCCCCTGCAGGAGGAAATAACTACCCACAACAGTATTCTTGCCTGGAAAATGTGTGGATAGAGAAGCCTGGTGGGCTGCAGTTCATGGGGTTGCAAAAGAGTCTGACATGACTTAGCGACTAAAATAACAACAAATGATACAATTTGTAAAAGACTTTTAAAAAGTTTAAAATCCTTAAAAATACATTAACTTATTTGAACTTAACAATCTTGTGACATAGGCAAGAAAAATAGCATTTTAATAAGGGAGAAGTTAAGTGAATTGTTTACTGCTACTTGATGAGTAAGAGCATGCCCAGAATTTGAATTCAGACTTCTCATTAAAGATTGTCTCAGTTATATCATATTACATATATTCTCTTCTGAGAAGGATTCTACGAAATGGTATTTTCTACTCTAACATTCTGGTCTTGCATATTTGTATGAAAGCTGTTTTTTTTAATCATTAGAAGATTTGATGTTTTTATTTTAACATAAACAACATAATATTATATTGCTAGCTCTTTTCTTTTTTAAACCTCTCCATGGACTAGAAAAAGAAAATATTCTTCCTCAGGGTGAAAATGTATCCTGATGTTTTTGGATTCTTCCTAAAATTAATCCACCAGATATTTAACCAATAAAATACAGCCCAAATCTCATTTGCATGTATAGATGTTTCATTATTTCATGAAATGCACTGAAACATCTTAGCAAGAGAAACATGAACCCAAAGGAAAATTGCCTGTCAAAATAGAAAATGTCAGCATTTCATGGGAGACAAGCAGTACTCACTTTATCCATTTCTTGTTTGAAAGTGGCGAACACCTCATTGCTTTTTGTCAGTGTGCTCTGAAACTCTTCAAACCTTCCAGAGTAGAGAGTAAGCTGTAAAGAGGGGAAAGAGTAGATCTGTTTTAGGCCTGCTTTCCTGTTTTAGGAATGCTTTCAAAACAGAACAACCTGTCATTGTTTGTTATTTGAAAAGGAAAATGATTTAACAGAATTCTCAATACAATGTTAGTGATATGTTCAGTTCTTTTTACTTTGAGATCAGCCTAGGTCAGTGAGTATGACTGAAGTACTTCTTTAAAGAAAAAAGACATAATAAAATATATCATCACCATTTCATTGTATCATAGCTTTTACCAACAAACATTTATTGAGCTCTGATGAACGTAGCAAGCACTGTTATGTACAAAAGCATTTAACCTGTATCTCCTGTTTTTGAAGGACCTGTACTCCTGATAGGAAGATAATCCCAAAGACAACTTGATTACAGAACAGTGAACACAAAGTACCAAATTAGTTAAGTACTGATCAGGGAATGAGATGAATGTGGCAGGTGATCATATAAGCCACATTTTGGTAGAGAAGGTGAGCCTTGGACTTAAGGGAAGTGAGAATGCAGACAAGTATGGACCAGATATTGACTAGGGATACTGCCATTGTGTGGTTGTGCCATTATAAGCACTTGTCATTTCCCTTTTTGACATTGTGGTTTTGTGTGTTTTTGAATGCAGTGTTCTAGCCAATAGCAGTTAAATGTTCCTTTTCAAGGAAATGAGTTTATTATACCAATTTTTAATAGAAATTATTGGAAGTTCATTGGAAGGACTGATGCTAAAGCTGAAGCTCCAATAGTTTGGCCACCCATTGCAAAGAACCAGCTCATTGGAAAAGACTCTGTTGCTGGGGAAGATTAAAGGTAAAAGGAGAAGAAGGTGGCAGAGAATGACATGGTTAGATAGCATCACCGAGTCAATGGACATGAATTTGAGCAAACTCCTGGAGACAATGAAGGACAGGGAAGTCTGGCATGCTGCAGTTGATGGGATTGCAGAGTCAGACACAACTTAGCAGCAGAGCAATGATGATGACGATACCAATTTTAATGGAAATAACGAGGAAGAAGTGCCTTTTTCTAATTTGCACCAAAAAATATCTTGTGGGTTAGCATGCAGGTATTGAGAAGAGTCTCTGTACTTCCACATTTCAAGGCTTGTATTTGGGGTAGGAGTAGAGCAAGATTGGGAAGGAGATTGTATAAATACTTGATTGTTATTGACAGTGATGTAATAATAAAATCTTACTTTTGAAAATAATTTTAGGATAGCATGTTTTGAGTGAGTGGAGATTTAATATGGATGATTCTAGTTTACTGACATGGAACTCTTCCATATTCAAATGAGACTTTGGTACTCTTGAATGTCGGGAATAGCCTGAAGTCCTCAGTTGGGCACCAACGGACTGGTAGGACCTATAGGACTGTCTTCTCAAAAGCACAGAAGTGTGATAGTCACAGCCAGTAGGTTGGAGAGTTTCCAGTCTTGGGAATGGGACTTCAGAGGGATTGTGTGGGAATCAAACAACTTCTAGAACCAAGAAAATTAGCTCATCTAGAATGGTTCATTCTCACATGATTCAGAATAGCAGAGGTTTTACTGCAGTACATGGGCTTCCCTTGTGGCTCAGCTGGTAAAGAATCACCTGCAATGCGGGAGACCTGGGTTTGATCCCTGGGTTGGGAAGATCCCCTGGAGAAGGGAAAAGGCAACCCACTCCAGTATTCTGGCCTGGAGAATTCCATGGACTGTATAGTCCATGGGGTCTCAAAGAGCTGAGCAACTTTCACTTTACTGCAGTACATAAGAACAGTAAAATAACATAAATCCTTTCATAAGAAACATTTTCCAAAGAAAAGTCAAAACAACAGCTCATCAGCATTTTGAAATCAGTCATTAACAATGTGAATAGGTGATAAATTTGGGGTAACTCTAGTGGCTTAAAAGTTTTCTCTTGATTCCTTGCCATACAGACTGAAAAAGAGTGGGTACAGTGTCATCAGGGAATTCACAGCCAGGAAAGCTTTTAGACACATATTTTACAGGACAACACAGTTAACCCTTGAACAAAGCAGGGGTTAGGGGCACTGACCCTCCATGAAGTGCAAAACCTGTGTATAATATATAGTCAGCCGTTTGTACTCCCAGTTCCTTGTCGCCGCAGTTCCCTATCCATAGATTCAACCAATGTCAGATACTGCAGTACTATAGTACTTGCTATTGAAAAAAAAATCTGTGCATGATTAGATCTTCACAGTTCAAATGTGTGTTGTTCAAGGGTCAAAACTAACTAACTCATTATGTGCAATGCACTCTTGACATATTCTGTTTAACAAATCTATTTCATTTTTTCCACAGACAAGTGGCTAGGATTCACTGAATTGATTTCAGGGTGCATGAGTAGGTCAAGTCCCTCAGTTGGAGGATAAGCCCCTGGGGGACTGCCTGCCTATGGGAACAACGACCCCAGCTGACCTTCACCCATGACAAAATCCATTCATTTGCATTTTGGACCAAGTCTCATGTTAACTTCTTTTCCTTACTTTCTCCTCTTTCTTTCCCCAACTTTTCAGTAATTCCGTTAGAATTACAGTGGGTGCATAGATAGGGTCTCCTGAGCTGATCTTCCCAAACCCTATCTTGCAGTTCTATAGCTGCAGGCTGCAGACAAGAGGGGAAGGCGGGGCCATGTGTGTGATCCATTTCACCTGCCCAACCTTGATAGGGGGCTTCCATGGTGGCTCAGCAGTAAAGAATCCGCCTGCAATGCAGGGGACGCAGGAGACATAGGTGAGATCCCTGGGTCAGGAAGATCCCCTGGAGAAGGGAATGGTAATTCACTCCAGTATTCTTGCCTGGAGAATTCCATGGACAGAGGAGCCTGGTGGGGTACAGTCCATGGGGTTGCAAAGAGTTGGACATGACTGAATCGACTGAGCATCCATGCATGCATGCAACCTTGACAAGATCAGTGGGAGCAAACACACCCTCCCCAGCCAGCTCTCTTTTCCTTCTTTGGGCTGAGTGTCCTTTTGATGTATAAACTGGGCGGATTTTGTTTTCCTCCTCTATGTTTTCTTGTGTCATGGAGAAGACAGATACACAAGAGTTCAAGGGCTTAGTGTCTTACTTTATCACCACTTTGGCCTTTTTCTAGTGACCCTCAACTTCCTTATCTTTTAAATTGGGTAAAGCACACATAACATTCACTGTCTTAACCATTTTAAGTGTACAGTTCAATATTGTTAAGTATATTCACATTGTTGTGCAAATGGATTTCCAGAATTTTTCATCATGCAAAACTGAAACTCTGTAACCCATTAAACGATAGCTCTCCATTTCTTCCTTTCCTTCTAGCGACTTTTTAAAAAATATTCTACTTTTCTTCCTGTTTGACCTTTTCGTCATAGGTGGCAAAATCTGTGTGAACTATACTTTTCTCGGGTAACCAACTCTGACACTCTTTACTTATATACTAACTAAAAATGTACACTTACTGTTTCCTTTATGGATATTTGTTTGATCGTATTTCCCCTCTCACTATTATGCTGACATGATGCATGTCTGATATGTCATATTCCCTGTTTCACTTTGGTATATCAGAGAAGCATGGAAGGAACATCCAGAGGTCATCCTCAGGATTCTTACCAGAGGCAGAAATAGAAACAAACTACCCTAGGGTTAGTAACAACAACTCATGCCCCAGTATTTCACTTAAATGGGCTGGGTGGCACACACATTCTTTTAACTGAGCACAAATTTTAATTCCAACAGCACAAGAGAAGACTGTACACATGGACATCATCAGATGGCCAACACCAAAATCAGATTGATCATGTTCTTTGCAGCCAAAGATGGAGAAGCTCTATACAGTCAGCAAAAACAAGACAGGGAGCTGACTGTGGCTCAGATCATGAGCTACTTATTGCCAAATTCAGACTTAAATTGAAGAAAGTATGGAAAACCACTAGACCATTCAGGTATGACCTAAATCAAATCCCTTAGGATTATACATTGTAAGTAAGAAATAGATTCAAGGGATTAAATTGGATAGATAGAGTGCCTGAAGCACTATGGACAGAGGTTGGTGACATTATACAGGAGGCAGTAATCAAGACCATCCGCAAGAAAAAGAAATGCAAAAAGACAAAATGGATGTCTGAGAAGGCCTTACAAATAGCTGAGAAGAGAGGAGAAACTAAAGGCAAAGGAGAAAAGGAAAGATATACCCATCTGAATGCAGAGTTTGAAAGAATAGTAAGGAGAGATAAGAAAGCCTTCCTCAGTGATCAGTGCAAAGAAATAGAGGAAAACAATAGAATGGAAAAGACTAGAGATCTCTTCAAGAAAATTAGAGATACCAAGGGAACATTTCATGCAAAGATGGGCNTGGACATGGAACAACAGACTGGTTCCAAATCGGGAAACGAGTACATCAAGGCTGCGTATTGTCACCCTGCTTATTTAACTTCTATGCAGAGTCCTGTACATTGTCACCCTGCTTATCTAACTTCTATGCAGAGTACTCATGTGAAATGTTGGGCTGGATGAAGCACAAGCTGGAATCAGGATTGCCAGGAGAAATATCAGTAACCTCAGATATGCAGATGACACCATCCTTACAGCAGAAAGTGAAGAACTAAAAAGCCTCTTAATGAAAGTGAAAGAGGAGAGTGAAAATATTGGCTTAAAACTCAACATTCAGAAAACTAAGATCATGGCATCCAGTCCTGTCACTTCATGGCACATAGATGGGGAAACAATGGAAGCAGTGAGAGGCTTTATTTTTGGGGGCTGCAAAATCAATGCACATGATAGTGCAGCCATGAAATTAAAAGATATTTGCTCCTTGGAAGAAAAGCTATGACAAACCTAGACAGCATATTAAGAATTAGTGACATTACCTTACCAATAAAGGTCTGTCTAGTCAAGGCTATGGTTTTTTCAGTAGTCATATATGGATGTGAGCGTTGGACTATAAAGAAAACTGAGCGCCAAAGAATTGATGCTTTTGAACTGTGGTGTCAGAGAAGACTCTTGAGAGTCCCTTGGACAGCACGGAAATCAAACCAGTCAATCCTGAAGGAAATCAGTCCTGAATATTCATTGGAAGGACAGATGCTGAAGCTGAACCTCCAATACTTTGGCCATTTAATGCCAATGACTCAGTGGAAAAGACCCTGATTCTTGGAAAGATTGAAGGTGGGAGGAGAAGGGGACAACAGAAGATGAGATGGTTGGATGGCATCACCGATGCGATGGACATGAGTTTGAGTAAACTCCAGGAGTTAGTGATGGACAGGGAAGCCCGGTGTGCTGCAGTCACAATGAGTCAGACCTGACTGAGCAACTGAACTGACTGAAATTGTAATTACAAACATTCATAGCATATATGAAACAAAGTTTTCTAGGAATTGTTTAGCCAACTTAGGTGATTTGGCTTGGGAACTAATTCAATTATTATTATAGTTTCAGAGAAATCTCCTCTCATCTTAAATAGATACAGTGAGGTCTTCTGAGATTAAAGACTGTGATTACTTGTCTTTAAGAGTTGACTCACTGATCTTTCCCCTTGGGTAGTATTTTGTGTCTGCAATGCTGTGTTTTGTTGATATTGCTGACTTTCCACATCTACCACCATCTTCAGCCTTATTGATCCAATGAACACTCTATTTGTAGCCACAGTTGTATTCCATTAATCATCTCTGACATTTACTCTATTGCCTTGGTTTGTATAATTGAAAGCCAGATGTCTCTTCCCTAAGTGAGAATCATGCCCCAGACTGGCAAGCTATTGTTTTAGGGCTGAAAAGTGACTTCAAGCTAGGGGAACACAATCTGTCCTTTATATTTTCTTTGCTCAGACCATAGAAATGGGGACTAAGATGTCTCCCTCCTATCAACCCACTCTTTTAATTGTCATACCAAAGGAAGTGTTTGAGTGCTTTGCAAAATCATCTGTGATAGACATTGTTTAAGCTGGCTTAAAACTCAACATTCCAAAAACTAAGATCATGGCATCCAGTCCCATCACTTCATAGAAAATAGAAAGGGAAAAAGTGGAATCAGTGGTAGAGTTTATTTTCTTGTCTCCAAAATCACTGCAGATGGTGACTCCAGGCATGAAATTAAAGGATGCTTGCTCCTTGGAAGAAAAGCTATGACCAACCTAGACAGCATATTAAGAAGCAGAGACATCACTTTGCTGACAAAGGTCCATCTAGTCAAAGCTATTGTTTTTCCAGTAGTCATGTATGGATGTGAGAGTTGGACCATAAAGAAGGCTGCATGCATGCATGCAGGTGTGTGAGCTCAGTTGTGTCCAATTCTTTGTGACCCCATAGACTGTAGCCCACCAGGCTACTCTGTCCATGGAATTTTCCAGGCAAGAATACTGGAATGGGTTGCCATTTCCTCTTCCAGGGGGTCTTCCTGACCCAGGGATTGAACCCGTGTCTCTTGAATCTTCTGCATTGGCAGGTAATTCTTTACCACTGTGCCACCTGGGAAGCCCATAGAAGAGTGCTGAAGAACTGATGCTTTGGAACTGTGATTCTGGAGCAGACTCTTCAGAGTTCCTTGGACAGCAAGGAGACCAATCCAGTCAATCCTAGAGGAAATCAATCCTGAATATTCATTGGAATGACTGATGCTGAAGCTGAAGCTCTAGTACTTTGGCCACCTGATGTGAAGAGCCAACTCACTGGAAAAGACGCTGATGCTGGGAAAGATTGAGGACAAGAGGAGAAGGGGATGACAGAGGATGGGATGATTGTATGGCATCACTTGACTCCATGGACAGGGGTTTGAGCAAACTCCAGGAGATAGTGAATGACAGGGAAGCTTGGGGTGCTGTGGTTCATGAGGTAGCAAAGAATTGGACATGACTTAGTGACTGAACAACAACAGACTTTGTTTTTCAAGGTTTAAACTTTTAAAAAATATAGTGCTGATACTTTTCAATAGAGGCTTGTTTAAGCATTATTACATGTAGGGATTCGGGGCCTCCATGTTCTTTTTGATGTTTAAATAATTATTGAAGTTTGGAAAATGCCTTGAAGGCAAAAGAGATAGACAAGAGGGTCCTTGCAGAGAGAGCCAACCACCATGGAAAGCAAAGTGATGGAGGAGGCAGGGTTAACTCTGTTTAGTACCACACTTCTACAGCCCTGGAAGTTCTCTGTGTTCATGAGCTAGAGCTGAACAGGGTCCTGAGATCATCTTTTCCAGTGGTTCTGAAGCTTTTTGGCAGCTAAAGAACTTCTTTGTCTCATTTATTACTCTGTGTGTCCTTACCCATGAGATAGCACAAGTATTAACTCATACACTGATCAGTTGTTAGCATTCTAATTAATATCATTTTTATCACTAGATTGTGAGTTTAATTAGGCATTTTTGGTTCATTTATTGAGTAGTATATCTCTAACATGTAGAGCCATACCAAGCACTTAAATGCTCAGTAAATATTAGTTGAATTAATTATGCTTATTATGGGACAGGCACTGAATTAAGTGCTTTGCATGCATAACTTGAAAACAAACTTCATGTATTACATAAACTCATTTTCCTTTTATAAATTGAATCAACTATACGAATAGCTACCATCCGTGCTGCTGAGTGAAGCTGTTATAATGTCAAAAACAACTACATTTTAGATAGCAGCTGCTGCCTCATATGCTGTTATGTTTTGGAAATACTGAAAAGTAATGGGCCTCCAAGAGGTCAAAGGACTCCAGCTTGGGATCTTAGATATATTGCAGCATCCTTGTTTTACAGACCTGGAAGGTTAGGTCCAGGGAGGTTTAGGTGAAGTGCACAGAATCAGACAGCTTCTCAGCAGAGGAGCCATCTGCTCCCTGGACGCAGCCCCGTTTTGAGGATTGAACAAGGAACACTGGCAAATCTAGACCCTGGTTTCTTCTTTTCCAAACTTGAGGGAGTATAGGTGGGAAATTAAATCATACCTTTCGGGTCATTAAAGGCCTGTTTTCCGATACCAGCTGAATGAACCACTCTCTAGCCCAGAGTCTAACAGTATTAACGTATTCTTCATTTAGCATAGAAGAGTAGAGATTGCTTATAACAGATGTTGTGAACACTGAATAGCTTCAAGTACTGTCTGTTGTATACCTCAAGGCTTTGTGCTGTGAATGGGACAGAGAGCCAGAAGCCCTAACCTGATGCTCTGTATTCTCCCCTCCCCAACCCCTGCCCCCCGACAGTCAGGTCACATCTCCTTCCCCCTGCCTACTTCTGGCTTGGGAACTGTCGCTGCCTGCCACCCACCCCACACCATGAAATGATGTGTTCCATGACTGCCTAAAGGATGATCTTGGGTGTGTAACTTTATAGTTTAGTCTTTTAATTCTGAGTCCTTTGAATCTATTAATAGTGAAAAAATACATTGTTCAAATTTCTATGTAATTAATATTTAAAAACTGTTTTGGTATATTAGTGGGGAAACAAGTCATCATTGTGTTTGGTAAACACTTCGGAAAAGTGTTCTTTAGGAAGGTTAGAAATCAAAATGTTATCTTTGTTTTTGTCTATGCAGTGATATAATTTGTGATTTTGCTTCTTGTTTTTTAAATTTTCTTTTAAAAATTAAACAAATATTCATTGAACTTGTTCATTCATACAATGAATAATTTTTTAATATTTACAATGGACATGTATTCAGCAGTCAACACATAAACATTTATAAGTGAATTATTCAAATCTTAATGCTGCCCAGTTTTGGAAGGCTTCTGATTTTCTCGCTTTTGGTGAATTTTTACTGTGTGATTTTACAGTCCCTTTAGCACGTGGGCATTTCTCCCATCCAGGGAACTAGGACTCTGTGGCCCAGCTTATGGCAGGATGAGCAGAGCCGCAAGGGCCCCAGAAACATGGGAGAAGTCTGGCTTTCCTCCAGAGCCAGCTGTTGCATGAAGCTTTATTTTTGAGCCTGCAATACGATTTCCCATAGTCTAATAAAAATATACTCATAACTACATGAAACCAAATAAAAATGGTTTATGACTTGTCCACTATTTCTAATCATTCAGCAATGGCAAGGCCAGCACGAAAATGTGGGTGCTGACTCTCTTTTTCTAATTTCCTTTTATTGTAAATAATATCAAACAAGTAGGGACATTTTCAGTATTGGGAATCATAGATGGTGCATTTGCACAGGTTCTATCACGCCTTACCTTGAGCGGTTGGTGGGGCAGGAGGGAGAGAGGACCTGTGAACAGATGGGGAGGACCGGCCACCATCCTATTCTGGTTGACTCTCATTTGTATGTCAGCAGACCTTTTGACCAGAAGTTGTTGGTGCAGAGCATTTATTTTTCTTAGATACATTATAACACTGGGCCTTTATTTTTACTTTAAAATAGTAAATGTGAAGTTATTCTTCCTTTCTATCTCCTGTCCCCACCTCCCCTCCCACGTAGAAGGCCTTGTGTAGACTACCTTTGGTTCACAGCAAGGAAGACACCCCGCATGCATTGCTCTACCCCTACTTCACCTGAGCCTGCAGGACCGTCTCTTGTTCCTTTAGCACTTTAGCCTGAAGTTTCCACTCTGCTGCCTGGTTCAGCAGCTGTAAGGAGACAGAACGCATGGAAAGACTGTCAAATTGTCTTTTAAATTACTGTTTATTATAACTCGTGTGTAAACTTAATTGCTTGCTAAATAATCTTAAGTAATTTTGGGGGAACTTTAAAAGAATCTCAGAAAACTAACAAAACAACTAGTTTTAAAGGTCTTATTCTCAGCTAAAAATTAGTGATTCTAATGGGAAAAAAAAAGAGGAAAGTCTCCAACTCGAGCATGAATCACACAAAATTCAACCTCCCACCAAATTCTGGACCTCTCTGTAGCAATTCTGCCCAGCTATCATTCAGCCTCTGCTTGAACATTTCAGATTATCCCTACCTGCGGCATTGTGAGCAACTGTTCCTTTGTATTAAACCCAACTGTTCCTTTGTATTAGACCACTACTCCCCATCATTGTATGCATCAGAAGCTCCTGAGGGGCATGTTAAAATGCAGATCCTTCTCAGAGAATATGATAGGAAGTGTAGGGTGTGATTAGAATCTGCACAGGGAGCAAATACCCAAGATGGTTTGGATATTGGTAGTCCATGGATTTTATTTTGAGAAACACTAGGTTAGAAATTTGACCTGTTGGTCCAAATTCTGTATAAAGTTTACAAAAGAAGGCTCGTGCCTCTTCTATAAAGCAGCCCTTCAAATGCAACCATGTCAAACAAAATCAGAACTGGAACTCATGGGTAAAATTGAAAAAGTTGTTTTGGCAATAAAATGACACACACATATGTAAGACATGTTATGTTAACTTAAGATGTATACTCAAGTATCAGTTTTGATGTAGGGCTACAATTTTGTTTTGGATATGGATCTCCTAGTTGGAATTCAGAGGGTTTTTGTTTTTTACAAAAATTATATCCATAATGTGCCATATAAGACTTATAGTTTTTTAAAAAAATCAATAGTGCTAAAACCTGAAGACCTAAGATATTTAATTTGTAAAGCAGCTTGATTGGATAATCCTCTTGGAGTTTTACAACTTTCTTCCAGTCTTTTATATCTGCTTGCATCCAACTTGACAATCATTTATTTATTTTTTCTATTTGCCTACATCTAGGCTTTCAAAGCATTAAAGCATAGTTTTTATAGAAACAACTTTTTGACACTTATTTCATGAGTTTATATATTATTCTGTTGATTTACATAATGTAAAACCAACGATAACTGGGAAAAGAGTTGGGAGCAAAGATCTGACTCTTGGTCTTACTTAGCTTGGGCAACCATGTTTAGATACTGCAGAGTGGCTAACTCGCCCCAGGATCCAACATGCTGTGAGCATCTGTCAGTATGCTTACAGAGAATGGTGAATGTCATGGATCACCATCATCAGTCAGTCAGTCAGGTGGCTGTCAGTTAAGAAGTTCCTATTTTATTTCAAGATAGGCTGATAGAAATTTTTTCCTTTTTGTTAATCCATATTTTTTAAAAAATGTCCATTTTTGTTATTAGAACCAAAAATAGTAAAATCGGTATTTTTAAAAACTCGGAGGCATCTTTTCCTTGTCCAAGTTAGTCTTGACCTCTCCATTTATAAAAGGGGGTTATATGTGTTTCTCCATGCCTCTTAGCGAGCAGTGAAGATTAGTTAGTCTAGAAGTGACTGTAAGAGACGGCTGAGGAGCTGCAGTGCAGAAGCCCCGCAGCAACCCCTCTGGTCGTCTGAGCTGCGTGGCAGCAACGTACATGGTGGGCTGCTGCTTGGCCCTCAGGGGCCCTGATATGATGAGCTATGATGAAGAGGGAGGAAGAAGGCTGCCTGTTCTTCGGATGAAAGACCCCACACCCCAGCTCTGGTGTGTTATTTTAGCGCTTTCAAAATGTCAGAGTGGAACCCAGGAAGATGACCAGCTTTGAAGAAGTGAGGGGACTACCTTTATTTTTTAACAGAAGCAGAAGATATTGAGAAGAGGTGGCAAGAATGCATAGAAGAACTGTACAAAAAGATCTTCATGACCCAGATAATCACGATGGTGTGATCATTCACCTAGAGCCAGACATCCTGGAATGTGAAGTCAAGTGGGCCTTAGGACGCATCACTATGAATAAACATAGTGGAGGTGATGGAATTCCAGTTGAGCTATTACAAATCCTAAAAGAGGATGCTATGAAAGTGCCGCACTCAGTATGCCAGAAAATTTGGAAAACTCAGCAGTGGGCACAGGACTGGAAAAGGTCAATTTTCATTCCAATCCCAAAGAAAGGCAGTGCCAAAGAATGCTCAAACTACTGCACAATTGCACTCATCTCACATGCTAGTAGAGTAATGCTCAAAATTTTCCAAGCCAGGCTTCAACAGTATGTGAACTGTGAACTTCCAGATGTTCAAGCTGGTTTTAGAAAAGGCAGAGGAACCAGAGATAAAATTGCCAACATCCTCTAGATCGTTGAAAAAGCAAGAGAGTTCCAGAAAAACATCTATTTATGCTTTACTGACTATACCAAAGCCTTTGACTGTGTGGATCACAATAAACTGGAAAATTCCAAAAGTAATGGGACTACCAGACCACCTGGCCTGCCTCTTGAGAAACCTGTATGCAGCTCAGGAAGCAACATTTAGAACTGGACTTGGAACAACAGACTGGTTCCATAAATTGGGAAAGGAGTACGTCAAGGCTGTATATTGTCACCCTGCTTATTTAACTTATATGCAGAGTACATCATGAGAAACGCTNTCACCGACTCAATGGACGTGAGTTTGGGTAAACTCCGGGAGTTGGTGATGGACAGGGAGGCCTCGCTTGCTGCAGTTCATGGGGTTGCAAAGAGTCAGACACGACTGAGCGACTGAACTGAACTGAACCTTTCTTTGACTTATATCTGCTGTTCTGCTAAATCACTGGAGGAAAAGAGGGCATCATTTTAGTTTCTTGCTAAGATTGAATTACTCCATGTCTGGCCCCTAATCTCTCTCACAAGAATCTTTGCCTGGTTGTTCCTCTGTTGTGCCTCATAGATTAAATCTGAAGGTAGTGACATTCTATAGGAAGCATAGTTTACCTGAGGTTAATTACATCTAAATAATAAATAAATGCTTTATTTCTTCCTTTGAGAGCTAGGGTGTAAGTGGATTTAATAAATTAATCTTTAAGAGCACATGGACATCTGATTGAAATTATGCAGTATCCACCAGGTTATGTTTTCCAAAATTCATTCTTTTGTTGTCATGTTTGAAAACCAAAGTTTTAAAAGAATTACTGTCTGACAAACTGAAGTGATTCCAGTCTGGTTTTAGGTAAATGCAAAGCTTGTGATCAGTTGTTAAATGGCCAAATCTGAATGACTGGTCTGTTGTCTCTCCCCAGCAGTAGACACGTGCATTAACTCATGCCTCTGAAACACACCTCTGAGTGTGATGTACTGTCACAGAGCTTGGGATTTGGGGACAGATGTACTGGAGATGTGGCCAGCATACCCCGGTCACTTAGCAGTGTGTGACCTTAAGCAAGTCACATATCCTTTTATGGGCCTCAATTCTCTCATCTGTTTTGGAGTGTTTAGGGTTAATAAGATATCAGTTAAAGATATCACTTGGTTTCTCAAACCAAAACGCAGGAGTCATCCTTGATTCTTCTGTTTCTTCACTGTCACCATCAACAAGCATGGCTGGTTGGTTTTATGTTAAAAACTTAACTTTTATCCATGTCCAGCTCTCCTTCTGCACTGCCACCTCCTCAGTCAAAGCCATCATCAGATCTTTCCCAGACTGCTGCCTAGCTCTCTTGCCCCTCTCTAGTTCACTTTCCACCTATGAGCCAAAGTCACCTTTTACAGATGCAAAGCAGATCCTGTCACTTCCTTTGCTAAAACTACCCAGTACTTTCCCATTATATTTAGAATAAAATTCAAACTATATTTCAAGCTTACAGAGCAATACAGTTTGCCCCTTGCTTACCTCTGCAGTTTCATTTTGAAATTTTCTCCCACTGGGGCACCTACTCTTGCTACCCTGACCTCCTATTTCTGGAGTATGCCAAGCTGGTTTCAGCATTAGGACCTTTGTCTCTGCTACAGACACTGCTGCTGGGGCCCTCCTCTCTGATTCCCTGATCATCAGAAAGGGAGCAGTTCAAGCATCCTTCGCTCCAGGAGGCCCACCAAGTCACCCAGTCTAAAGGAGGCCTCCACCTTCTGCCCCTTTGAGGTTCCTCCTCATTTCCCTAGTAGCACTTATTATCTGAAATCATCCTTCTTTCTTTGCTTGCTTATTTATTGCCTTTCTCTTCCAAGTTAGACTCTAGTCTCCATGCTGGGATGTGGACTTCTGCATCTTGTTCACCACTACACCTAGAATGTTCACCACTACAGCCAGCACCTAGAATGGTGCATAGCTCATGAAAGGTGCTTGCCAAAGGTTTGGCGAATGGATGCATGATACAGTGTTACAGTGATAGGTACAGTGTTTCCTCCTGGGCTGGCCAGTGTCATTCTCCAGGGAAGCTTAGGCTCCTCCTCCATCGGTCTAGTGCTCTATGACCGTTACCAAAAACATTCTCAGGGGTTCTCTGACCCCAAGGCAGACCAGACAAGCACATAGATGCATATGATAAATACATATTCCTTTTCACGTTTGTGTCGCTCCTCTGCTTCCTTCATCATCTCTTGTGCCTGCTCAAGTTTTGCATCCACTAGCTTCTGCTGCAGTTCTCTGTGTTTAAATATTTTGTCGAGGTGCTGAGGAAAAATAAAGTGCACATATCAAATTGAGTTATTATTGGTGCTGAAAAACATGTATAAAAAAGTAATATTGATATAAACATGTGTTCTCTAGGTTTTATGAGTTAACAAGAGGGGGAATAAATGCATTGGTGTCACTTATGGTTTTATACAAAAGTCATAAATTGGTGGAATCTCCTGCATTTTGCACTACATGAAAGTGGCTACAAAGGTGGAGGTGCCAGAGTTCAGCAGTGCAACACCAAAAGGTCCCAACAGTATTTTCCTAAATATGACAACTGTTAGATATGGCACTAGTTACTGTGCTAGGCTCCAAAGACAGTGATGTATATCGCAAGGGCTGCGGCCCTATCACTTGGTATTTTGGCTCTCTCTGTGAATATGCAGTCACATTTAGTCACAATATTAATTCAGTTTATTATGGTGAATTCTCTACATGCTTGCCTTAAGGGTGGTGGGGAAGCTTTGAGGTAACAGTCTGTGGCCCTTGTCTGGGACTGAGGCAGGAGCCCCCTGACATCAACTCTGTTGCTCTGGTGGGCAAGCAAGGCTCAGGTTTGCAGATGAATTGATATGCAAATGTGCTACTGCCTCTTCCACACCTTTTGACCTGTTGACTACCTTGGTAAAATGAAGCTTCCTACTCTACCTCAGTGTGGAGAATTTCTTGGTCATTAGGGGGTCCCACTGGCAAGAGGACATATAGAATTAGATCTTTGGGCCTTATCTAGAAACAGTCCTAGGGATATACAACTGGTCTACCAGGTCATTACCATACATGATCTCTCTGCAGAGCGTGGGCTTTTTTTTTTTTTTTTTTAATGCTCCTTCCCTTTTGTTTTTTTCCTGAACCTCCACTTTGGAGCAGGATTGATCTTTGTGACAAGATAAAATGGTAGCATGGAATTATGGCCTACTGTGAGACGTTTCTTGATTTACCGAACTGCTATATCAGTTTTTTCCCCTTGATTAAAGCTTCGCATGTCACCAGCAGAGCTCCTCTGACTAGGTTATGTTACAGTCTAAGGCAGAGATTTAAAATCTTAAGTGAGACGGGAAAAGGGATATGACATATCAAAATCCAGAGGGTGGCATCTGGAATCTTCAAAGCATATTAAATATTAAAGTATAATCTTGGAGTAATGAAAGATCTTTATAGTCCCCCAATGTAAACTATTGATAAACTCTTTTGGCTTTTGTGACTGTGGATACGTGATTTAATCTTGTGGCTTTTGCTTCACATCTATAAAATGTGGATATATGTTATTATCTGGTACATAAGATTGTTGAGACAGTTAAATGACATACTGTATGTAAAGTATAATACTTAGCACATTGCCTGGCACAAACTAAGTGTAAATAACAATACCATTATTACTATAATTGTTATATATATATACTATATAATAATAGTATACATATTATTATTTTTGGGGTATATACAATGCAGACTTTTAATTTCGATGACATGGTAATTCTTAAGAGGGCATGCATGAGGTATTTCTTGGTTCTGTAGAGAGAGTTTAAAAAAGGCTGAGAAATATTATTTTTTATTTTCAAGGATAAATCCATTCATGTCCTACCCCTTGTTTATTGCCTCTGCTTTGCAGTGATTCTAGTTTTGAAGAAATGCTCTATAACTTCAGCCAGGTATTTTGTAATATCATCTGTTTTTATTTTGTCTAGTAAAAGCAGTCCAAACCTAAATATTAATCAGTTGAGAAGGCTGGCCATAACTTCGTTATTAACCGACCTCCCAACCTTCACAAACCAGACCCAGATCTACATGCAGCGTTTCTAAGTTCAATGTGGCTCTCACCTCCTCTCTGAGCTCATACTGATCAATGATGCTTTTTAGTTTCTCTGCAAGCTCTGTGTTCTCCTGACAGAGCTTCATGTTTCGCTCACTCTGCTGCTCAATCTGGGCCTGGATATCTGTCAGGGTGCTCTGGAAGTGACTTGTGATCTCCTTCCTTTTCTCTTCTTCCTCACGTGCTCGCTGAAGGGTTTCCTCCTGCAGAGAGAATGCACGCTCTCGTTATGCTGGTTTATAAGCCCCTCGGTTTACAGAACTCAGAGTTTGGTCGATGAAGGGAGAATAGCGTGCAGGGTAAGTAGGATATATTTCCCCAGTTCTCTAGAGGTAACATTGCTCAGCCCCAACATAAATGTTTGAGCAAAGGTTTCAACTGTGAATACACAGTCGCTCAGAGCAGGTGCAGCAGGGGCCTTGAATTTGATAGCTGGTGATAAATAGACTTGTTTTAAAGACAACAGGTCCCCTGCTGAGTCAATAAACTGCAGTGTTCCCTAACAGACATGCAGCCTGAAGGTTCTATCTCTTGGTTGTGGCCTAGAAAAAAGGATACTCAGTCTTACTGATTGATGGGAAAGATCAGGTGTTCCTTTAGTTTGGTACAGAAAGAGGAACAGCAGATCTTATGTTCCTCTGTAAAAATGATGCCATATTGATAATGTAATTGTATTCCCCAAGTTTTGCAACTATAAGTGATTACAATATATATTTTTTCTTATTAAAAATAAATGTCATCCAAAAGCTTGAAAAGAAAACTAAGATAGCCATATATGAATTACAGCAATTCAAAAGTATCAAAAAAATCTTATAAAATATTCTGGGTATTTTTTGAAGGAACAATCATCCCATGAGTCACACAGAGTAATTGAAATATTCAATGTAAATTTTAACTTTGAAAGCAATATGACGTTTCAAATCTTCTTTAACTTTAAAATGAAACATCTAATTTTCCCCCCTTCCACTTTGTTAACATTGAAGAATTGAAAATTAACTTTTATATCATTTCTGTTCTCTTTTCTCCTATATCAAAATTCCCCTTTCATTGCTAACTACTTACAATGTACCCAAATTTCCCCCATATCTATATTGAGAACTATTTGCTTTGTGCTTATTCCTGTCATTCTTTTAGAATAAAAGGGTTTAATCTTCTACATACACCAAAGATAGAGACTCTGCTGACAAGTGATACAGACATTTTAGGATCCCTTTAGTTCTGATTAATTTTATTATGAAAGCTTTCTTCATTGTTGGCAAGTAAAATTATACTGCATTTAGTTGCCTATCATGATCAAATTATGTAACAGGATTTTTAAAAAGAAATACTCATTGAAACAAGTAATTGTGCAAGTCTTTATTATGATAGTAGAATAATGTGATCAAAATAAAAGCTGATGCTGGAAATACATGCTCTGAAAATATTTTAATTTATCATTAGATATCCCCTTTCTTCTACAATATTGATATATTTTCTAACTCTGACTCCTGGTATCAGATCATAATTTATTCATGGTATACACATTTATTGAGTGGAAATTTCTTCAGTTCAGTTCAGTTGCTCAGTTGTGTCCAGCTCTTTGAGACCCCATGGACTGCAGCACGCCAGGCTTCCCTGTCCATCTCCAGCTCCTGGAGCTTGCTCAAATTCATGTCCATCGAGTCAGTGATGCCATCCAACCATCTCATCTTTTGTCATTCCCTTTTCCTCCTACCTTCAACCTTTCCCAGCATCAGGGTCTTTCCAAGTGAGTCAGTTCTTCACATCAGGTGGCCAAAATGTTGGAGCTTCAGCTTCAGCATCAGTCCTTCCAATGAATTTTCAGGACTGATTTCCTTTAGGATTGACTGGTTTGATCTCCTTGCAGTCAAAGGGACTCTCAAGAGTCTTCTCCAACATGACAGTTCAAAGCATCAATTCTTCAGTGCTCAGCTTTCTTTATGGTCCAGCTCTCATGTCCATACATGACTACTGGAAAAACCATAGCTTTGACTAGACAGACCATTGTTGACAAAGTAATGTCTCTGCTTTTTAATATGCTGTCTAGGTTTGTCATAGCCTTTCTTCCAAGGAGCAAATGTCTTTTGATTTCATGGCTGCAGTCACCATCTGTGGTGATTTTGAAGCCCAAGAAAATAAACTCTGTCACTGTTCCCATTGTTTTCCCATCTATTTGCCATAAGTCATGGGACCAGATACCATGATCTTAGTTTTTTGAATGTTGGGTTTTAAGCCAGCTTTTTCACTCTCCTCTTTCACTTTCATCAAGAGGTTCTTTGGTGCTTTGTCGCTTTCTTAGGTATATTTCTTAGGGATACCTAGAAGAAATCTGTACTTCCTCATCTGGAGAAATTAAGTATCAGAGACATTATTTCATTGAATTTTGAATGCTAACACTTACTATATGTCTTTCACTGAAAGTGATTACAGCCATCTGTTAAACAGTTGTTGAATATGCATATGATAGTGATTCTCTCCTTATTGTTCCTGATTAACTTAGAAGTCAACAACCTCCTAGTTGTAGAATTATAGTCTGTGATTTGAATATTATTTGCATTTATAACTATTCCATCCATGAATGAATGAGTAAATGAAAAGACCATCCCATGCTACCTAGCAAGTCTGAGTTTTTCACTGGTCACTGGCTAGAAAAAGAGGCATTAAACATGGCATTAAACACATGTCAAACCATCATAGCACCCTATCCTGGCCCATAGAATGGCATCTTGCATTTTACATCACACTGTTTTTCAATGAGAGAAAAATAAGTCTACTGAAATCATAAAATTTGATTCCACTAGTAAAGAAAAGGCAAAATGGTTGTCTGAGGAGGCCTTACAAATAGCTGTGAAAAGAAGAGAAGCAAAAAGCAAATGAGAAAAAGAAAGATATTCCCATTTGAATGCAGAGTTCCAAGGAGAGAT